CTAACATCCGTTGAGTAGACATTCCAGATGGTTGAGATCAGCTTGCATTTGAGGAAGAGATGTTGTTCACTCATGTTCATATCCATGCAGAAAGGGCACGGTGTATTGGTGATGATGCCCATTCGTTGTAGGTTGTTTGGGAAGGGAAGTAAGTTGTTGAATAGACGCCAAAGGAAAATGCTGATCTTACCCATTTGTCTCTTATCCCAGATATAGACACAAGTGGCCTGTTTTGGCTGATGATCATAGGTAAGTGAGTATGCCTTCCTGAAAGTGTAAGTCCCAAAGTTCCATTCAGCACCATCTGTGGAAAGCCTACAATGGGGAAGAATTAGTGGAGTGGTTTTACATATGGATTTCCAAGTGTAGGAGTCATAAGGCTTTGGAGAGAAAAGACCATCTCTGAGGTATTTATGTCTCATGTATTTGCTCCAAATAGTATTCCCCTGGATCATTTTCCACCATAGGTCAATGAAGGCTGCATCCTGGCTTAGTGTTAGATTTCTTATCCCCAGTCCTTCTTCCTCAAAGGGAAAACACATCTTGTCCCATCTCCTCCAGTGGTATTTGGGTCCCTCTTCCTTTTCCCCCCAGAAGAAATTTGCCATTTGCCTTTTAAGAATTTTTGTTATGGACTTGGGTATTCTTTGGGCAGCCATAAGGTGTAAAGGGATTGAGGATAGCACGTGCTTGATAAGAATAAGCCTCCCCATTTGGTTTAGCTTCTTACTATACCAAGCATTTATCCTCTTCTCAAACTTTTCAACCAAGTCCTTGCAGTGTATCTTCTTAAGCTTTCCTTTTACAATGGTAGATCCAAGGTAGTTAAACGCTTTGGTACTACATTTGATAGAAAGGATTTTTTTGATCTTGTATTGGTGTNTCTGCGTAGAGAAGGTGGCTTGGGGTGGGTGTTCTTCCAGCAGAGAAGTGTGAGAGCATCCTGAGTGAATGATGATAATTGATGGATCTAGATAGCCCTTCCAAGGCTATAATGAAAAGTAGGGGGGAGAGGGGATCACCTTGCTTTACTCCACATTTCATGGGGAAAAAACCCTTTGGTTGACCATTTATAAGCACTGAGAAATGTGTTGCCTTCAGATTTCCCATGAGCAGGTGTATGGTATGTTGAGAGAAACCAAATTTGGAAAGGATTCCCTCCAAATAATTCCATGAGAGTTTATCAAAAGCTTTAGAGAGGTCCAACTTGATAATGCATTTCCCTCCTCTTGCATTTGAAGAGAGTAAGTGAACCATCTCTTTTGTCATGAGGACATGATCAGTAATGTTCTTCCCAACCTGAAAAGCAGCCTGTTCCTGGGAGATAATCTTGGGAAGGATCAATTTAAGTCTGTCACTCAGAATCCTGGAAATAATCTTACTGAAAAAAGTTGATAGGGAGATGGGCCTGAACTGGTCCAGGGTGATGGCTGCTTCATTTTTAGGGATGAGGGTTATGAGTGTGCTGCCAAAGGCTTTAGGCATAGGGACACCTATGAAGAATTCTTGAGCTGCCATGCACACATCAGTTTTGATAGTGTCCCAAGAGTTCTTGAAAAAGAAGCCATTAAACCCATCCGATCCTGCTGTGCTATTGGCATTTAAAGACCAAATGGTTCTTTTAATTTCTTCCTCAGCTGGGATGCTACTGAGCAAAGTGTTGTCTTGATCAGATACACAAGAAGGAATAAGATTTAGGATTTCTCCCATATCCCCTTCATGTATTGAGTAGAAAACCTTTGTGTAGTGCTCCACTGTTATCCTTTCTATCTCATCAAAAGTGGTATGGATGTTTCCTCTCCCATCCTTTAAAGAGGAGATATGTAGTCTGTTCCTTCTTCCCCTTACATAGGAGTGGAAAAAAGAAGTAGAAGCATCCCCTTGGGAGATCCATTTGATGTTAGCCTTTTGGGCCCAAAAACATTCCTCTTTTTTCAAAGCTTGCTGCAGAAGGGCTGTAGCTAGCTTGAACTCCATGAGGTTTTTTTTCAGATTCATCCATTTCAAGGATGGCTTCTGCCTTTTCTGACCTATCTTGTGCCTTAGACACTTCCTCAAAAATATTTCCAAAAGTTTCCTTATTCCATTTGATGAGTGTTTTTTTTGAGGTTAGAGAGTTTCATAGCAAGGCCTCTCATACCCCCACCCTGATAGTTTTTATCCTAAGAGGAAATTATCAAATCATTGTATGATTTATGGGAACTCCAAATATTGAGAAATTTAAATGGTTTTGGGCCTGAGATTTGGTTAAGGAGGAGTTTGAGAAGCAAAGGCCTGTGATCAGAGTTCCCTCTTCCAAGGTGTTTCACCTCAATGACCTGGAATAGATTCATACAATCTTCATTTATCAGGATTCTGTCAAGTCTTCTACAAACTCTTCCTTTACCCCTTTTTCCAAACCAGGTGAATTGGCTGCCCAAAAAGGTGGGGGAAATGAGCTCACAATTAGAGATGGTGCTATTAAAATCTGCCATACTTCCAAGGTCTGGACAAACTGCCCCTTTGTGTTCAGTAATAGAAGATACTGTACTGAAATCTCCTCCAATGATCCATGGGCCTTGGACAGGAAAGAGGTTTCTTAAAGAGATCCAAAGTCTTTCTCTATCTAGTCTACAATGCTTTCCATATACACTGGAGATCCAAATAGTGGTTGAGGACTCAAGGTCCTTAAAACAGCATGTTTCTTGGACGAGAAGGAGTTACTACCGGACTTCACTCTCCCGTGACAGTAAGGTCTTTTACCAAAGTTTGTTGTTTAAAGCATGAAAACCCTTCAAGAGTCCAAGTTTCATTCTGTACCACTCCAATTTATTTGGTTCAACCAGGGGTTCCAAAAGAGCAAGAAAATGAAAGTTGGATTTTTTTAGGAGAGAGCGGAGACGGGGGAGAGAAATATGTACACCTCTCAAATTCCAAAAGAGTCCAATCATGGGGAAAAAAGAGAGGGAGAAGAGTTACTTGAGGCCATGTGTCTGGTGATCATGGCATGGCTTCTTTCTTTTGTTTTGGAACTGGGAGCTTTGGACTTTCTTAGGGTTTCCTTGCCAACTGAAGGGGGTGGCAAAGGAGGGAACTCCTCTATAGCAAGTAGGTAATCCAGGTGTTGAATATTTTCATCAATTTCTTTTGCTTCAGTGAAGAACCCAACTTCCGGTGGTTCATCTTCAGGGAGAGAGAGGAACTGATTCTCCTGGAACGGGACAATAGCTAGAGAGTTGTCCACAAGTTGCTGGGAATCACTGATGATGGGGGCCCTAAGCACATTTTCATACACATGACGTAAAGTGAGTGTTGATAGGATATAAGGGTCCGTAATGCAGTAGGTCCCATTTTTCCCAACCTTCTCAACAAGTGGTGGGGTGGGTGAAACAGGTATCTCTATAGGGTTTTTGGAGGATTCACCTGGACCTTCTACCCAAGTTGCATTAGTTTTCTTGGGGTGTTCAGAAAAATCAGTTTTCTTGGCCCGCCACTCAAGATTGTCAGTCACCTTGGCCTTACCTTTTTTGGATGTTACTACTTGCCATTTTCCAGTGTGTTTGTGTTCCTGTGAAACCAGGGCCTCTTTCTCCGGTGGTTCATCCCTTTTCCGATCAGAGTTTTTTGCCATGCACGCTTCCCTCTGGTGACCTGTTCTCCTGCATTCCTTGCAGTAGGAGGGAACATTCTCATAGATGAAGGAAAAAATAAGTTCCTCACCAACATGATTAATCAAGACCTTTGGAGGAGGGAGGTTGGAAATATCAACTTCCACACAGCATCTAGCCAAAGCAGGCCTGGAGAAATTTAAAGTACAAGAGTCGACCTGTAAGGGGGTACCAATGGTAGATGCGATAAGATGGAGAGCTCTCCTATCATGAAGATGAATGGGGAGGTCAGGGAAAGCTATCCAGATAGGCATCCCCGGATTTTCAGATTCTTGCGACAGAGAGGGGCTCCATTTGGTGAGGGTCATGAAGAAACCAAAAACCTGCCAAGTCCTTCTAAGGAAGAGGCGCAGGTAGTCTTCCTCTGAACTAAAATTTAGAAGAAAGCGTTGATGAGGAAGAACAGATATGTCCACTCTACCCTTTAGACCAAGTCTTTGAAAAAATGTGTTCATAGAGGAAAAAGAAGGCCGTTTCTGAAATTTCCCCACAAGCGCCAGTTTGAACCTGGATGCAAGCTCCGATATGTCATCTTGGGTGAATGAGACCGAGGGAATTCCTTTGAAACGTCCTGTTGATCTGCCTTCTAGACGTTTGCCCGTGTAGCTGGATGAAACAACCTCAGAGAAAAATCTATTATTGGTTTCCGGTGGTTTTCCGGTCACTGGAGTTTTAGAGAGAGAATCCATGATACACACACACACACACACACACACACACACATATATGTAGCGCCGAATGTGTATATATATATATATATATATATATCTATATATATATTATTCTAATTTTCATCATTTTAATTATATGATAATTATTGATGTCAAAATAAAATGTAATGCATTTTAATATGAGATGGCCGAAAATATCAAAGGGAAAAATACAAGACATAAATTGATTTTCTACCTAATGATATATTTGATTGATATAATCAAAGATTTGATTAACAAAAGGATATTTGTCTTGTTGTGTTGGTTGGAGACATTGCACTAATCTTTATTTGTTTTTGTTCCTAATGAATTTCCTAGAAATTCTTTTAAAGTAGTGTTTTATAAATAAGATGTATCCCTCCCCTCTTTTGCACACAACTATTCGGCCATCACAAGGAAGAGAGAAGAAAAATCCCATTTTGTGTTCAAAGTTATTTTTCTAAAGTGTTAGAAATATACACAAAATATTATAAAGAAATATTTATAAGATAAATATTTTACTATATATTTATTACTCCCAAAGTAGTATTATTATAGTTTTTACTATGCTATATTAAACTTGCTAGCACAAGTTTAATCTTGGACTCCGGAGCAAGTTCGTGTGGATACGTTGGAGGCTTCATACGTTTGGCGCTACGTTCATCTCCTCAAAACCATCCCCGACCGTTCCTCCGTTCTCCATTTTCACCGTTATGGTAAATTTCTTACTAAAGCTAGTAATTTATGTAAGTTGTTCTTGGGTGGAATCGAGTTTTGGACTATAAATTTTTGTTTTTCGCTGCGTTATCCAAGCCTCGTTTCCGAACATACCCATCGCTGGTTAGGCATGACCGTTGTAAGTCATTTAAGGTTGATTCTTTCCTTGTTTGAAAGTAAACCTCCCACCAAGCGATGGGAAGTGTTTACCCATCGATGGGTAGGTGACCGTTGCCTTCAAAACTGAAGGAAAATTGCCTTACCAGCGATGGGTAGGCTCATACATCGCTAGGAAACCTAATCTCTTGCAGATCCATATTTTTATATGAATCTCATATATCATGCCAATCAACCCTTTAATGCCTTGATCCATTGGAGCCTATTTTGGCACTATAAAAAGGGGTGTTTGGGTTTGCATTACACAACGAATTCACTTCACATTACACATATAATCATTGCATTAAAACAATATTATTTTCCATAGCTTTCTAGAGCAAATTTGTGTGAAGTTTGAGTTGTTCTTGAGCGTATATATTTTACTCAATATCCACTCTTAAGGAGAGTCTTGTTCTTGAGTGTCTTAGTGTTGTATACATGTTAAGGGAAGCTTGTTTCCCTTGGTTGTACGAAGGAAAGGTATTTTTCCTTTGGGTTGAAGTTTTGGAGTACGGTATCTCCGAGCAAGTGTATTGAGGCTCGTGGGACTCGAGTTCTCAGGTTGTAACGGTTTGTTCAGCACCCGTAAGCTTAACGGAAGTAGTGTAGCTCGAGAGAGTGTAACGCCCTGAAAACCGGCTTAGTAGTTAGTCGTTATTTTAATAAAAATAAATAGATTATTTATTGACTCCAAAATACGAAGTATTTGTAAAGTTGACCATTTTAATTAAAAATTAGGTTTTCGGGTAGATCTCGTAAAATGGTGACGAACGGTATATAGTTTGTTAAATGTGGCCTTTCATGTACACAGTGATAAACAAAATATACGTTACAGTTCAATAAATAAAATAAAGAATTTTAATAATAAAGTATTATAAAACCAAATAACACGCACGCACGACTCTATTCCTAATTCCGTTTGGGAAGTCTAGAAGTTACCCAAACCTACGGTTATAAACACATAAGGAGACCTCTGCCGTTCCTCATTCTTCTCTCTGCGAGTCGGACCGGAGTCAGGGGAGTTTTGCCGGAGTTGTCACCGGAGTTCTACAAGGATCGGCCGGAGTTTAGTTTGTCAATTGAGGTGAGTGATTTATCTCTCGTTAGAGTTAATTCATAGATTAGGATTCGTTGATGTATTTTCGTGTAGTTCATGATGAATTTGTGAATTGAATTGTTGAATTAATTGATTGTGTATTAGGAATGGGGTTTGGATTGGGAATCTGTTGCGTTTTTGTTCTTTGTGCTTGTCCCTGCCGTTTTTGTTATGTTCTGTCCTTTTTCGTTGCCCTCTGTTACCGCAGTTGGAACTGCGGCTGATTGCCGTCATGCATCGTTTGAGTTCCGGAAACAATCGTCATGGTAATTGGGGAAGACTTCTTCGCCGTATAGCTGTCTTCTTCCATGGGGTGTCGCTGGACTGCATATTGCCTCGTTGCCAACCGAAGAAGGAAGCACTCCTTTAGTGATAAAGTAAAGGCTAACCTTTAAAGACTATAAATTAGTAACCAGTACTTAAGTTGTGTGTGCTGTAGTCCATCTCTATGCTTGGGATTTAGAAATTTAACCATGATCTCAATGGAACTCCAAATTTACCAATCTTAACTTTATAAATCTAACTTAGTAGGTTTGTAAAAATAATAGGATGTGCAGAATAGTAGGGCTTTCATATTTTGGTACTTTGTCATAATATTATGTTTTGAATTAGAATTGAGAAAATATGCCACTTGGTATATCTAGGTGGTTCTCGATTAAATTGATAAGGAAATTGGAGTCACTATTGAATTAATAAGGATTAGGATTTAGGCCTGGTGGGGCGAGCTTCGCATAACTCACGGGTCTTGGGTTAAAAACGTACGTACGGGAGTCATTAGCCTACCTAGGGATTCCTTTGTAGGGGCTCCAACCCGCCCATTGAGGATTCTCTTTGGGTTTTAGTCAAGCATGGCCTCGGGGAATCCGCCCGAGTGTCCATGACTTAGTTAGTCAAAAAAAGAACCTTAGCCTATAGGGTTAAGTGTAGAAGAACAACAAGGACTGAACGTTGATAAATAAATAGTTAAACCATGATATTCGTCAATGATATTTGCTAATTCATCTGATATTGTGTGATTATATATTGATGGTTGCTAGTCCATGAGTTAGTTCTAGCGTTAGATACTTCCACTCTCCCTATATTTTTACAGATAGAGATCAAGGACGGAATGAGGAGCAGCCTGGAGAACAGTGAAGTGTGATGCTGGTGGATGGCCGATTCTGTTTGAAATTGAATTAAATACTTGTTGACTTTTATTTTGTTTAAACTACAAGAATGTTTGACAATGTTGTTTTAAAGGCTTCCGCAACGTTTGAGTTATTTACTCCGATTAATTATGAATTGTTTTTCATTAAATATAAATGCATGTTTTATTTTAAATGTTTTCAAAATATTATGAATGTGAATACAAAACTAGTAACAACCCGATTCGCTAACTCGTCGGTTCGGGTTACGCGGGTTGGGGTGTTACATTTTGGTATCGGAGCATGTGGTTTTAAAAACGATTCTCGGAAAAAAAGAGTAAATTTATTTTCAAAAAAAAAAGAAAAAAAAGCATCCACAGCTTCATGACGTCACTGCTCCAGGAGGTAACTCTGAATTTCTATTATGTACATATATGAAAATTTTTGTCTTGATTAAGAGTTAATTTGTTTGTTAATTAACATGTGATTCACGTAAAATAATAAAAAGGGAATCAATGTGTAAAACAAGAAGAACATAGGCACAAGAAGGTGGAAAGAGTTAAAAAAAAAATTGGTTATGAAAAAAAAACTATTGTGAATCCAAGAAGTAATTATTAAAAAAAAAGCAAAAAAAAAATCAATTCACAATCATCCATGACGACTAGTTCGATCATGTTATAAAAAAATAATACTCTGCGTCACGTGCCAACCAAACGCGTAGGCGACAAAAAAAAGGGGGGTTGTCAAGAGTTTAATCCATTACCTTGAGCTAGATTGGTGAACTTTTAAGGAATTAATTGAATCTGCCAAAAAAAACGACAAAAAAAAGAAGAGAAGTTCAAATAAAAAAAATAGTCTCACGAAATAAAAAAAAATGCAAAAAGGATTATGAAATTTAATTTGTTGAAATATGTTAGTAATTGTCCATCACGAATTTCTAAAATAAAATTTGGCTTAGATTGAAAGTAAGCTTTGTTGTAAAAGAAAAAAAAATAGCATTTTGGGCAATAAGATTTTAAAGTAATTACTTAATATTTTATTCAAAATTCAACTGTTTCGCTGATTACTGAAATGACAACCAAGTTCGGAAGGGGCTGCAGACCTGGATGAATAAGGGTGTTTTATCTCAGTGTCAGATGAATTTGACAACAGAAGTAACGTAAAATTTGTTTCTCTTTATTAAAAAAAAAGGTTAACAATAAATATTGTAGAACAAAGAAAAGTATCTTGCTTAAAAAAATAATAGTTTTCTTTTCGTATTCAAGTTTTCAAAATAAATTACTTACCTTTAAAAAATTGTGTAATAAGAGACGTAAATGTATAATGTTTGAATTAGCAAAACATACGAAATAGATAAAGTATTTGATCAGATGATATTTGTTACTTAAGTAGTTAAATTGTAAAACTGCAGAATGGACCGTATCGTTAATTATGATGACGATCATCACTCTGAGGATGATAGCGTGCAACAGAACGACCACCAGAATATGAACATGAACCAGAACGTCCCACAACAAGAGGCACCCAATAGTGGGCTTGTTGGGGTTCCGCAGATCGACCATGCGATGATGATGCAGCTCCTACAACAAGTTCTGATCATGAATCAGAATGCCTTAGCGCATGTTCGACAACCAGAACCAAGGATCACACTCGAGAGACTGCAGAAAAACGGTGCTGAAGAATTCCTAAGCGAGAACATCGCCGATCCGTTGATTGCATTTAGATGGATAGAGCGCGTGCGACGCGTATTCGAGAATTTGAAGGTTCCAGCTAGCGAATGGGCCGATTTCGCGGTCATGCTTCTACAGGGTAATGCGTACGAGTGGTGGAAGCGCACTACTCGAGATGCGAATCATCCCGCGAAAGTGACGTGGGCGTACTTCGAACAAGTGTTCAAAGAGGAGTATATTCCCGAGTCGTTTGTGGAAGAGAAACGAGAGGAGTTTCTACATCTGGAGATGGGTACGATGAGTCTTCCTGAGTATCGCCAGCTATTCGATCATCTCGCTGAGTTTGGCCAGGATTTGGTGAACACCACCAAACGTCGTTGCGATAAGTTCGTGAAGGGCATGTGCCCGAAACTTCAGAAGCACATGTCTACTGCATCTAGGCAAGATTTTGGAGTCATGTACGAGCAAGCAAAAGAGGTTGTTAGAACGAAGGAAGGATTGAAGCTGAACACTGAGCAAAAGCCAGCCAAGACCTCCACACAAGCAGCTAGCACCAGCAAGGTCTTTCATGAGAAAAGGTCTCAGAGCGAATATGAAATCCAAGTATCAAAGAAAGCCAAGTCGATGCCTACTCAGTCCGTTGTCTCGACAAGCAAAGGGAAGCAACCTAGGCATCCCTTGTGTCCCCGTTGCAATCGCTATCATCCAGGAGAGTGCTGGTGGACGCTAGGACTGTGTATGGGATGCGGGCAAGCTGGTCATCAAAGGAAGAATTGTCCTATAAATCCGGGTCCTGCATTTTCTACCATTCACGTCTCAAACTAGTCACAAATAGCAAATCCAGCTCAGAGTCAACGTACGACAGCAGGATCTCATGTGCAACGACCTCAGCAGCAACGACCGCCGCAAGCTGCGACAGAACAACATGCTATAGCTCCAGCTAGGACATACGCTATGCATGGGCAAATCGATCCCAATCCAGATGCTGACTATGGTATGTTCTTATATGAATCGTAGGTATACATGGCATTATATGATCCTAACTTAGCTACGTATCATGAACATACTTTCCTATTTGATTACGCGTATGCTTGCGAAAGGAGTGATAACGATTCCCTACGACGTCAAGGGATCCATGCGAATTCAATGTCTTCGTCTATTTCAGTGGCTAGGATGCAAAGGAATTTCGAGGACGAAATTCTTTTAAGGGGAAGAGAAATGTAATGCCCTGAAAACCAGCTTAGTAGTTAGTCGTTATTTTAATAAAAATAAATAGATTATTTATTGACTCCAAAATACGAAGTATTTGTAAAGTTGACCATTTTAATTAAAAATTAGGTTTTCGGGTAGATCTCGTAAAATGGTGACGAACGGTATATAGTTTGTTAAATGTGGCCTTTCATGTACACAGTGATAAACAAAATATACGTTACAGTTCAATAAATAAAATAAAGAATTTTAATAATAGAGTATTATAAAACCTAATAACACGCACGCACGACCCTATTCCTAATTCCGTTTGGGAAGTCTAGAAGTTACCCAAACCTACGGTTATAAACACATAAGGAGACCTCTGCCGTTCCTCATTCTTCTCTCTGCGAGTCGGAACGGAGTCAGGGGAATTTTGCCGGAGTTGTCGCCGGAGTTCTACAAGGATCGGCCGGAGTTTAGTTTGTCAATTGAGGTGAGTGATTTATCTCTCGTTAGAGTTAATTCATAGATTAGGATTCGTTGATGTATTTTCGTGTAGTTCATGATGAATTTGTGAATTGAATTGTTGAATTAATTGATTGTGTATTAGGAATGGGGTTTGGATTGGGAATCTGTTGCGTTTTTGTTCTTTGTGCTTGTCCCTGCCGTTTTTGTTATGTTCTGTCCTTTTTCGTTGCCCTCTGTTACCGCAGTTGGAACTGCGGCTGATTGCCGTCATGCATCGTTTGAGTTCCGGAAACAATCGTCATGGTAATTGGGGATGACTTCTCCGCCGTATAGCTGTCTTCTTCCATGGGGTGTCGCTGGACTGCATATTGCCTCGTTGCCAACCGAAGAAGGAAGCACTCCTTCTTTAGTGATAAAGTAAAGGCTAACCTTTAAAGACTATAAATTAGTAACCAGTACTTAAGTTGTGTGTGCTGTAGTCCATCTCTATGCTTGGGATTTAGAAATTTAACCATGATCTCAATGGAACTCCAAATTTACCAATCTTAACTTTATAAATCTAACTTAGTAGGTTTGTAAAAATAATAGGATGTGCAGAATAGTAGGGCTTTCATATTTTGGTACTTTGTCATAATATTATGTTTTGAATTAGAATTGAGAAAATATGCCACTTGGTATATCTAGGTGGTTCTCGATTAAATTGATAAGGAAATTGGAGTCACTATTGAATTAATAAGGATTAGGATTTAGGCCTGGTGGGGCGAGCTTCGCATAACTCACGGGTCTTGGGTTAAAAACGTACGTACGGGAGTCATTAGCAAAAAAAAATCAATTCACAATCATCCATGACGACTAGTTCGATCATGTTATAAAAAAATAATACTCTGCGTCACGTGCCAACCAAACGCGTAGGCGACAAAAAAAAGGGGGGTTGTCAAGAGTTTAATCCATTACCTTGAGCTAGATTGGTGAACTTTTAAGGAATTAATTGAATCTGCCAAAAAAAAAATGACAAAAAAAAGAAGAGAAGTTCAAATAAAAAAAATAGTCTCACGAAATAAAAAAAAATGCAAAAAGGATTATGAAATTTAATTTGTTGAAATATGTTAGTAATTGTCCATCACGAATTTGTAAAATAAAATTTGGCTTAGATTTGAAAGTAAGCTTTGTTGTAAAAGAAAAAAAAATAGCATTTTGGGCAATAAGATTTTAAAGTAATTACTTAATGTTTTATTCAAAATTCAACTGTTTCGCTGAATACTGAATTGACAACCAAGTTCGGAAGGGGCTGCAGACCTGGATGAATAAAGGTGTTTTATCTCAGTGTCAGATGAATTTGACAACAGAAGTAACGTAAAATTTGTTTCTCTTTATTAAAAAAAAGGTTAACAATAAATATTGTAGAACAAAGAAAAGTATCTTGCTTAAAAAAAAATAATAGTTTTCTTTTCGTATTCAAGTTTTCAAAATAAATTACTTACCTTTAAAAAATTGTGTAATAAGAGACGTAAATGTATAATGTTTGAATTAGCAAAACATACGAAATAGAAAAAGTATTTGATCAGATGATATTTGTTACTTAAGTAGTTAAATTGTAAAACTGCAGCATGGACCCTATCGTTAATTATGATGACGATCATCACTCTGAGGATGATAGCGTGCAACAGAACGACCACCAGAATATGAACATGAACCAGAACGTCCCACAACAAGAGGCACCCAATAGTGGGCTTGTTGGGGTTCCGCAGATCGACCATGCGATGATGATGCAGCTCCTACAACAGCTCCTTCACAAGCTCAAAAGCAGTCACAAAATATGTTTAAAACCATCACATAAACACTTTCAAATATCTAAAAGGTTTTAAACTCAAACACGAAGGATTAAGGGAATTTTGGAAAAATCAGAACAGAGTCACGGTACCCCTAGCGGTACGCCACACGGTAGGGTATACCACCTACACGGTACCCCCATACCGTGTAACGGTACCTAGGTACCGACGGTAGGCGTAGACGGTTGGCCGAACCCGTCCTAACCAGGTACCGCCAGAGGCAAACTGAACTTTTGGAAGACACGGTACTCCCACACGGTAGGCCGTACCGTGTCACGGTACCTAGGTACCGGATGACACGGACCCCCCTACCGTGAAGGGTACCGGATCCGTTACAGCACTGTAGCAAAATTGCCAATTTGAATTAAATCAACCCTAATCACCTCCCAACGGCTAATTAACATCTTCCACTATAAATACAAGCCTAATCCTTCATATTTCTTCAAGAAACAAAGCTCTAAACATCCTC